TGCAAGGGGAGAGAGAAAATGCCAAAGTACAGCTGGTCGGCGGGGGTTTGCGAAGCTGGCTTCCCCATGATCTTTGCAAACCCCCGCCCATCAGCTGTGCTTCGGGGCTCTCTCTCTCCACCCCTCGCAACACAGCTGATCAGCGGGGCCTTTGGGATGATCGTGGGGAAGCGCTTCCCCACGATCATCACAAAGCGATTTTCCCCCATTTAAAACATCGCAATGCGATCGCTTTTGCGATCGTAAAAACTCCATCGCTTTGCGGATTCATCGTTAAATGGGGCGCTCGTTAAGCGAGGCACCACTGTATGTTTTTTCCCCCAGCCCAATGGCATTCCGCTGGGGCTGGCTGTGTGTATGGAGGGCTTGAGTGTTTTCCCCCAGCCCCAAAACATTCTGCTGGGGCTGGCTGTGGTTTTTTTTGGGGGGGGTTGTTTTTCGGCCCCATCACGTTCTTATGGGGCTTGCAGTGTTTTATTTTTGTTTTATTTTATTGGGATTTTTTTTCCGGCTGGAACGGATTAATGGGTTTCAATGTATTCCTATGGGAAATGGTGCTTCGACTTACGACCTATGGTTGTAAGTCGAGGCACCACTCTATTGAATCCTTGTCCTCCGTTCCTGCCTTCATCTTTTTTTTTTAAGATCATTTTGTGGCAAAATACTCCTTATTATCCATATATTTGTGATCATTTTGATTCTGCTTTTTCACTTTACCCTCTTTACCTTGTGCCCTTATACAATTATGTAAGTTATACAATTATGTAGTACCTGATTATTTTCCAAATCCATGTAGCTGAAATCTTTTCCCAGTTCTGAAAACGAACACATCAGTAGTTTTTCAGATGTTTCCCGCTTTCCTCTTTAATCTGGATTTGCTCCAGCTGTGTCTTTAAATAATACTACAGAAGATAAGATTTCTTGGCGTCCTTTTTCTGACTAAAGAACTTCCTCTTCTTCACTTCCACCACACATTCTTGAATCAAAACTCTTCCACTAGACCTTGGTGTTTGGAAGCTGGTTTTCTCCACCTATCACTTGTTTGTTTGGTGTCCTTCTACCATGAATTCACGTTTAGTGTCAGGGCCTTTTGCCCCGAGCAAACCATTTTCCTTTTCTAATCCCAGACTGATCTCATCATATAACAGGATTTGCTTTTTCTCTCGTTTCTGTGTATCTCTGTACCATACCAAACTGCTTTGGATAGTTCTCCTACATTTTGAAGTGCATACAGAAAGCTGCAGGAAAGGAGAGAGCATTGGTTCTGATAGTTGTGGCTAGCCTTTTTTTCATACAAACAATCTTTATTTTTACATAGGCTTTTTAATATTTCTATTGTTATCTTATTTTATTGATTTACACCACTGGTGGTGGACATCAGCCCTTGGAGCTAAATTCGGGCTGACTCGTATCCAAATCAGTTCTGACGGAGTTCCGCATAAGATGTTGCCCTTTTCCACATGATACCATCCTCTGTGGTTTCCCAGCATTTGGGGTTTTTTTTACCTTCATGAAGGGTGGGAATGGTTACTGACAGTAAGAACTTTAAGCTAAAATATGCCTTTTGGTCTCTCTTTCTATTGCATTTGGCCTTGCCCACCATTGGAATTCAACCCACAGAAGTATATCTGAAATTGAATTTGGCCCTTGCCTAAAAGAGAGTCCACACTTTAATTTGAACTGTGAATAAGTTGGTTGTGTGGAAAGAGAGATTCCACTGAAAAATACAATTAAAAAAAAAGATAGTATACGGATTGCTTATCAGTGCTCCCCAACCTTTTTAACTCCACGGACCAGTTGGGGAAGGCGGGGCACCCCCTGCGCTCATGCGCATACATGAAGGAGCACGCAGGTGGGTGTGCTCGTGCACATGTGCAAAGGAGCAGGAGGGTGTGCATGCGCATGCATGAAGGGCGGCATGGTACTTGTGCAGGCGTGCGCATGCCCGAAGGGTGGCACAGCACTCGGGGCCACTCGTGTGCATGCACGAAGGGGTGGGGGAGTGTTCGCATGGGTTCAGACACACAGGCGCAAAGGGGCTGTGCAAGGGGGAGTACATGCAGGGGTGGGGGGAGGTCTGTCTCCGCTGCCCGATCCGGCTCAGGCCACAGACTGGCATCAGGCCGCACACCGGGGGTTGGGGCCCTCTGGCTTATGTGACATAGAATAAGCATTTGATGTTTATGCAATTTAAATTCCATGCTTTTGGATTACTGAGCCTTCTAGCCAAATTTTGGAATATGACTGTTGCATTATGTAAAAGTTACTTGTTTGGACATCATTTTTTAAAAATACACATTTCTTCCACTCTTGTGAGGGGCATAATTTCAAACAGTATTAAAAGTGTTATCCAGCTAGTTCTTTCAGCATGCAACAGGCAGTACTATACTATATATAAGACAGAATTGTTCCAGTGAGAAGTACCTGTAGTTCTCATAGAAGGATTATTATGTTTATTACAGGGGTTGCTCAGAACTGTGTCGAATTCCTATGGTGGAGTATAAACTCGACAGTGAAGGCACCCCATGTGAATATAAAACCCCTTTCCGGAGGAATACGACTTGGCATCGGGTGCCAACTCCTGCTGGGCAGCCTCTCTCTCGTGCCTCTCCAATCCTAGGAACTTCTGACAGATTGCAGTGCCAGCAACTCCTCCAGCAGGCACAAACAGGCATCCCTCGCAGCACTTCATTCGACAGAAAGCTGCCAGATGGTGCAAGGTAATGCACTCTATATTAATTCCTGTCTTTTCTCAGTGGTTTGCTAGTAAGCCTTTCTGGTCCTTGGTATGAAGTGATTTTTCAAAGCTTTTAAATAAACAAGGAAGTAAAAACATTCATACAGGAATCTGCAGGGTTTTAACAGAACTGAACTAAAGATTATGTTGTTGCTGCTATATGTCAGCCTTTCTCAATGGGGGCCATATGGCCCCCTCGGGGCCTTGGCACATTTGAAAAGGGACACAAACTGGAAACAGTTCTTCACACACCACCTTATAAAGTATATTATGCAACTTGTACACTCCTAATTCGGCCTGCATTTCTTTGATATTGTGTTTATGGCCATGGCCAAAAGAAGATTGAAAATGACTGCTATACGCTATCAAGTTGCCTTTGATTTATTGCACCCCTGCGAATGCCTGAACTCCAAAATGTCCTATCATTAACTCAGCTCAGCCCAAGGCCATGGTTTCCTTTATGAAGTTAATCCATTTCATATTTGTTATTCCTATTTTCGTGCTGCCTTCCACTTTCCTACCATTATTGATTTCTCCAGTGAGTCTTTTCTTCTCATGATGTGCTCAAAGTACAATAGCTTGAGGCTGCAACTATAGAGTGGGGAAAGTACACTTTGATCCAAAGTTTTCAAATTAGATCCCTGCTAGTTTCTGCGGCTGAAGCTATGTTTGCATGAAGCTCCAATAACAAAAGGAGAAGCTGCCTTTGATCTAATGAGATCCTAACTGGCAATTTCTACCTCTTAAAAAATATTTTTCGTAAGTGACCTAGTGATAATGGTTGTTGTGGGTTTTTCCCACAACAACCATTAGATCCCGGCCGTGAAAGCCTTCGCAAATACATTGACCTAGTGATAATCTGTTGTACTACTGACTTGAAAGACTTAGAAGAAGAAGGAGAAAAAAACACATTGGACACAACAGGAGTGCCCCTTTGCTTTCAATTAGGCAGTCACACACAGCAGAAAGCAAAGAAAAAGCAGATAGTCACCAGTTATTAATTCAATTTCATCTGTGCATAATCTGATGCCGTTTGCAGAGTAGTCAGTTTTCCCTTAGTTTCATTATTTTTGCTTCTAGAAAGCAATTAGGCTTCATTTTATCTAGGATTTACTCATTTGTCTTTCTGGCCATCCGTGTTATCAGCATAGTTGTCCTCCAGCACCATATTTTGAATGAATCAATTGTAGACATGGCAGCTTTGTATTTCTATTAGATATGATGGTGGTGCTGATTCCATTCTCCTCCTCAGCTTGGCCAGGACCCCAGCAATACACAAAACACAGTTAGTAGCCTGGATGGCCCAAGGGAAAGAATGGAATCCACACCAGCTGTGGTGCCACACTTCATATCTAATACAAATGTGAAGAGCCCATGTCTAATCAATTGTTTTGTTCTCTTCTTTCTTCACTTGCCAGCTTTCTCATCTATAAACAGTAATCAGGAATGCAGCAGTGTAAATAAACTTGGCTTTAGTCTCCAGTGACAAATCCTTACGTTTGAGGATCTTTTCTAGTTCCTTCATACCTACCTTTTCAAGTATTAGTCTTCTTTTGATTTCTTGGCTAGAATCTCAATTTCTCTTGATTATTGAACCTAGATATACAGAAATTATATTTTATAATTTCAATGTCATCATTGTCAACATTGTTAAATTCTTCTGTAATGATTTTGTCTTCTTAATCTTCAACTGTAGTCCTGCGTTTGCACTTTATTCTTTCACCTTTATCACTGCTGTTTTCTGCCAGTAAAATGGCATAATCTGCATATCTTAAAGTTTTTCCTGCATCAATTTTCACTCTTTCATCTATATCCAATCCAGCTTTCCATATACATTGTGCATACATATTGAATAAATTGTGATAAAATACAGCCTTTTATGACACCAATTTGTTTCTCCCTATTATAGCCTAACAGTAGCTTTGTGTCCACAATATAGCTTAAAAATCAGGAAAATCAAGTGTTGAGGCACCCCTCTTTCTTTTAGAAACACCCAGAGCTTCTCATGATCCACACAGTCAAAGGCTTTGCTGTAGTCTATAAAGCACAGACTGATATTTTTCTAAAGTTCTTTGCTGCAATCCAGTAGCTGGTGTATATTTACAAAATGATCTTGAGTACCTCTTCATTTTTGGAATTCAGTTTGAACATTCATCATTTCTCACACCATATAGGCTAAATGTTTTTCTTATAAGTCCTTGAGCATCATTTTGCTTGCATGGGAAATTAGAGTGATGGTCCTATAGTTACTGTACTCTATGGCATCTCCTTTCTTCAGGGTTGTAACATATATTGAATGTTTCCAGTCCATGGGTCATTATTTTATTTTCCATACTTGATGGAATATTCTTATTTGGATTTTGATAGACTCAGTCTCTGTAGCTTGAAACGGTTCTGTCAGCATCCTGATACAATAGTTTCCCTCTATTAATGTTTCTTAAAACAAAACCAAAAGCCAGCACTAGTGATGATGATAATGGAAAGATAAATTTACATCTTGCTGTCTGGTCATAGTGGAATATAAAAACCTATTGCCATCACATGAGGACTGACCAATACAATACTACAGGAGCCACTTCAGAAAAATAAAGAACAATGTTTTTTGAAATCCACAGATTGAGAGCTTTTCATATCATTGTCAGAATTTTTATGTAACAGGTTGTAAGTAAAACAGAATTAGTTTTTTGTCTTAATGAGCTCATAATGATGTTCTTCTAAAACAGTGTAATGTAAGGACTGAAAAAGGCATTACTATGAGACCAGCATAAAAGTATTATTAGGCTTTATATTTGGAGGTGAGACTGGGAGAGTGTTTCCCCTTCATTTTTCTTTAATTGTGTGGTCTATTTTAAAATTTTTAAGCAAGGCACTACATGCACAAAACAGTTCATGACCCTGTTCCTTTATGCTTCTATCTAGTTCAGAATAATACTGTGGAGTTACACTGTAGCAGAGTTTCCCGTCTGTTTGAACAATATGGAACACTTCTTTAAAGGGGGAAAAGATACATATGCTTCAAATGAGTAGCTTAATGGCTTACTTAGAAGCAGTATTGCAAGCTCTGCTCATCGTAGGTCCTCAGCACTGTCCACTTCTGTTGAATCAAGTGGTAAAATGCAAATTGATTTCAAAAGCATGGAGCTGTTGCAAAAAATAATTCTGCAGTTTGTTTCCCTATCACTATTAAGTAATAAAACATTTGCAAATTTGAATTATCAAATATTACCTATCATACTGAATTTTAAGGGGCTACACATTTTAAAAAATGAAAATTTCTCTTCAGAAACATAGGCAACATTGTCAACCTACCGTAATGCCATGTGCAGATTTGGCATCTTAAGGTTTTATTTCTTTTTTTTAAATTTTTTAATTTTAATATATACAGTATACACATATACATACACATACATAGACATATATGTACACACGTATGCCTAAATCTCTATCTACAAACAATACATACTGTAAAGCTTAGCCTACAAGCCTTTTGTATAATAACACATTTCTTTCAGCAGTGTCTTCTCCTCATTATTCATTTTGGTCACTTACTTTCTATTTATTACAAAGTTTTTGTTTCCCACTATTCATAGAACATGTTCTATGGTTTTATTTCTGTACCTTCTCCCTCAACTCATTTTCTTAAAGGCTAAATTTCTCAATTTAATTTAATTTTAATTGTATTTTAATTCTTTTATCTATTTATTGTATTTTAATTGTTGTAAACCGCCCAGAGACCTTTGGGTAGAGTGGGCGGTATATACGTTATGTTAAATAAATAAGTAAACCACTAATACCCTTTCTGTTTCTTGGAGACTAATGAGCTATACAAGGCCAAATCTCTCTCTCTCTCTCTCTCTCTCTCTCTCTCTCTCTCTCTCTCTGTGTGTGTCTTTTTTCATCAAAATGTCTGAATTACTCATTATACTGTGATCATTTCCTTTTCACAAATCAAAAAATATTCATTTTATGCTTTTGAGTTCAGTCTTTCTGCAATAGCAATCAGTTTAATAGTGCTGAGATTTTGCTAGCTGCTCAGATTGCTGCTATACTTAAATTACATCTCATTTTTATGTGCAGATTTTTTTCATAAATATATTTATACTTTTTACAATATAGCGCTAACTTTATTCTTGACAACTTTTTCAAGATTCATTTTAAAAACTTAATGGTATTAGCATTTCTTTCCATCCAAACCACTTATTAACTTCTCTAAAAGTAAGTAGCATTGCTTTCTTATGCAGCACTTTTGTGATACTTTACTGGTGTTTCTTCTTGGAAATCTGCTGCTTTTATACAGCTGGATTTTGCTTTACTTTCAGAATATATTAGATGGCAGTTGTGTTGGGGTTTTGTATGATATATTTTATCTAAACATAACTCCAAATCTGAGCATGTATAGAGCCATAGATGAGTGTGTTTTTCTTTGTAAGGAAGCAAGTTGCTTTGAGCCTCTGCAAACTCTCTCTGTACCTATCCTTCAGCATTTATGCCCTAAAGCAAGGAAAAGCATAAACACTGCTGTGTACCATGGCTACTGTATATTTCCTTGGTTTGAGGACATTATCTGCATTGTGTGGTGACTCTGGAAGAAAAAATGCTTCCTTTGACCATAGAACTTTTACATGCTACTTGGACACTACTTGGATCAGCCAGTTTGTATTGTAATATTTTTACACAATTACTGTAGTACTGTATGTTATCTGTCTGATCTGTACACTATCATCACTTCTTACATAGCAATTTCACAAAGAATACTCCACTGGTGATATTTAAAACCAGATTCAGGGAGTAACTGAACATAGTTTCCTTCATTTATTATGATGTCCCCAAGTGAAAGTTATAGCTATATTTTGGGAGGGAACAATTGCCATGAGTATGAGCAGAACATGAAATGCTTACATTAAACAACATTGATTTTCAGAGAGCCATGTGTATACTTTAGTCAGTGGTGAATTATTATAATTATTTGTAACATGTACAGCTTTTTTATCTATTTTGAAAATAGATATTTCCAATGTATTTGTATTGTTTGTATTCCTCAAGTCAGTGAAAAAAATAATTACTAAAGGATTTATATTAAAATAGTAAGGTAGTTGTTGAAACACCACAGATCTTAGTACATCTTAAATTACTCTAGTCAATATTTCAGAAGTTCACCAAGCAACCAGTCATCCTCCAGTGACCCAGGACCAAGTGGGAGTAGTCAATGGAGGCAGCAAGTTGGCTATGACGGGTACTTTACTTTCCTATCTCTTTTTGATATACTCAGAGTTAGCAGAGTTGTTATCTGAAGCTGTTATTGAGTGTTCTATTGCTGAAAGTTAGAGCTTTGTAGAAAATCATAGTTAATTGTTTTTATGAGTTTTAAATTTCAAACTACCCTATCTTTGATGGGTTAGGGACAAGACCTACTTAAGAAATCCTCAAACTATGGGTTGAATATATAAAGAGACATCAAAAATTGTGTTTTAAAAATTTGAGGAATATTTCACTTGTTTGTGCATGTCATTAGAAAAAACAGTACCTTAAAATTATTGTAAGAAATTAAAGATGTAATAATCACTGTGAAATTTCTTTGTTCTATTTACTCATCATCTGAAAAATACCCTAAATTTATAATCTTGCCATTTAAAATGGAGGAACAGTATTAAGTGTGATAAGCAACTCTCACAGCGAGCAGGAAAATCACTATTATGTTTCTTTTAAAAGGTGCCAGTCCCCTTTACTTCATGACCACCAAGGTGCAGGTCCACTGGAGAGTGAAGGAAGCAGAGAACATGAAGAATCCTTGGAAGGGCCCAGACATATGAGTGGTAATGAATATTATCTTAATCAAGTTGCTATAATTGCTGATTTTACCTTCCTCCTATTTAATATTCTCCATCAGCAAAGGTCTTAAAGGCCCTAATTATTTTTTATTTGAAGCATGCAGGACTGCACAGTTTTAGCAAAAGCAGAGAGCATAAGCAAAATGACACATAGAGCAGAACTGAGTAAACAATACAAAATCCAGATCAGTCATGTTCCTCTCATTTTCCTTGAGATGGTGAAGCACCTTGAGGGGATGAGGAGGATGAAGTTTGATTTCTGAAGCTTTATTCTGACTTTCCAATTTTAACTTCTATATTAGTTATTATGAAGACATTTTTATCCCACGTTTCTTCTGTTAGATTGCCAAAAGTGGCACCCCCCTAATAAAATAATAAAAACATTAACACAGAAGAAATAGATAAAAGCATCTAACACTGAGAAGCAAATCAATAATAGGAAGTTGGCAAGATTAGAAAAATCAAAAGATTGGCTAAGGCAAAGCTTTGTTAGTTAAAAAAGAAAAACAACCCCAAAGGAATAAGATGGCTTTCTCAGAATAAGAGAGTCCATGCTTTAGGTGCAGTAGTAGAAACACTCCTCTAGTGTAACCTCATCACAACACAGAAGCTAGTATGATGTGCAAGAGAGCAATACTATCTGTCATAGTGGCTAGATTGCTTCATGTTGAGATATATATATAGTCCTTTTACATAGTCTGTAATAAATGTTTAGTACTTTCATAATCTGAATTATGGCGAAAAATTGACTGGCTACCTAGTGCAAATGGTACAACAATGGAGTAATGTGCTCCTTGTAAATATGGCCATTCAGAATTCTTGCTGCTAAAGTTTCCTGAGGATTTTCAGCATAGCCCATGTTAAGGGCACCACAGTAGTCCAGTCTAAAGCAACGAGTGACCGTTGTCAGAGCTGTATAAACTTAAGATAAAGCAGTGTTCCAAAATACAGATTCCACCTGAGCATCGAGGAGCAAAGCTTAGTACTGTATAGGACAGCAATGGCGAACCTATGTCATGCATGCCACAGCTTGCACACAGAGCCCATTATGCGGGCAAACGAGCCATAAGTTGCTGGATCGCTATTCCCCCTGGCAGCCAAACTTCAGGCGGTGGCTGCAGCCACAGTGCTGGCACTTCAGCAGGCAGTGGTCCAGGATCTGGAGCAACTGGTGCTGGTGGCAGATCTGGAGTGGGGTCTTGAGGCACCTCCGTGCCTGGGATTCCCCCTTCTGCCACCACTTCCGGTTCTGCAGCCACCGCGGCACACTGCCTGCTGAGTTTTCTCTCCCCCCCAAGTTTGGCCACTCAGGCCCAAAAAGATTTGCCGCCACTGGTTTAGGAACACCTTCAAACAGTGAATTTCATTATTTCCTAACCAGTGTTGGCTTAAATGGACCTCAGCAATCTTCTCAGCCAAGAAAAAAAAATTCTTGTTCAGATTAAGTTTTAGTTTGTTAGCCCATGTCCAGTCCATCCCTACTCTCACTATTTAAGGATTCCACAACTTATTTGATTTGAGATGGAAATGATTTTTTCCTTTATAAATATTTATTTCTGAAAATCACTGGATATTTTATTTCAAACAAAACCATGCCTCTCTGCCACTCTTAAGTACTTTTCTTTGTTTCCTTGCACTCTGAACAGGTGCTTACAAATAGAGTAAGGATGTGCATATTGGTCTTGCATTCTGCTTGCATTCATGTTCCATAGAGAAGATATAGCTAGAAGATACATAAACATCTATTCCTCTCACCCATAACTTTAATAGATTTTAACCAACATATTATCTAAATTTAATTACATCTGAAGAGTGAAGGGCAAGACTAAATTTTCTGTTAGTGACATTTCCAAGAAACAACACTGTTTCTAACCTGATGCATATAGCATTAAGCTGTGAGCCTTTTTTTCCTTCTGTAGTATGTTTTGTGTATATAGAAATTAAAACACATAATTATTTATGGCAGAAACCAAGTGGCATGCACCATCAACCAAAGTCTTGAGTTCCTATAAAGACCGGGCTTTACAGAAAGAGAGCAGTGGCAAGGATTCACCAAACAAATTTTCTCATGTAAGTCTTTTTACTTAGGGTTTCCCAAATTACGAATCTTTCTCACATGTATGCGAGAACTTGACTGAAAGTCACCAACTTGGTTCAAAGTCTGTTTTGTTACGGTCCCTTCTCTAAAGAAAGGGCAAGCAGAAATTATAGAGGGTAGTTTCTGTTTCATGATAAATGAACCGCTATTATTGATAAATTTCTTTGTTGTATATTTCTTTATCCTGCAGTTCTATCTAGCATTATTTTGCACATTATTCTGCCTTGGAATAACTTCAAGATAAATTATTTGAGGACAAAAGAGGTCATCCGGTTTTTATTTGCCAGCATTAAAAACCTAGGTGTGGAATGAATGATAGGATCTGACCTTTTTTAAATAGTATGCGCAAGTAACAAGCATCTCTGATGCATAATTGGATTCAAGTATTCTAACTGGCAGTGACATCAGACAAGCGCATTATAGAGGGCATGTGCTGGTTTCTAGGGCAGTGAGTGGATTAAAGCCTCACTAATGTGATGTCTGATTAGAACTTGAGTTGCATTGGCTTCCACAGTCCTGAGTACATGTCCTATTGTATTCAAGTAACACCCATACTTTGCCATCTCTTGTCATATTGTCAGGAATAAACATCTGTTTTAATTACCAACAGTTTCAACCTTTAAAGAATGCATGTAATTAGAATATCTTGTTCTTATTCCTGTTAATGGGGGGAAGGCAGCAGTGATGATCCAACATTAAGAAACAATAACTTCGAATTGAGTCAGACATTGTGAAAATTGGAATATAGTGCCTGTTGCATACATATATGATAAATTAAAAGATGAAGAATTATGTCAAGTGTAGTTCTGATCTTTACCCTAGTTCATTTACATGGGCAGTGTCTCTTTCTCTTTTGCTGCATCTACCGTGTTTCCCCGAAAATAAGACAGGGTCTTATATTAATTTTTGCTCCAAAAAACGTATTAGGGCTTATTTTCACGGGATGCTTTAATTTTTTCCATTTACAAAAATCTATATTTATTCAAATACAGTCATGTCATCTTCTTCTGGTTGCTGCACAATGGTGGACAGCGGGGTTTCACTTAACTGGGGCTTATTTTATGGGTAGGGTTTTTATTGCGAGCATCCTGAAAAATCATACTAGGGCACATTTTCAAGTTAGGTCTTATTTTCCGGGAAATAGGGTAGGGCATAAACAAGGGATTTTGACGCCAAGACAAAAGAGTTTCCATCAAATATATTTATTTAGTATATTTGATTGCTACACCCCATTTGACCAAAATCAGTATTATCTTATGTCATCTTTATGACTTGATGGCCAGATTTTATTCTTTAGTTATGCCTGTGTAAGTGCAACAACATAAATTTAATTTGCAAGTTGCCCACTGTTAAGTAGTGAAAGGTCATATTTCTTATTGCTGATTTCTCAAGTTGCAGCAGTTTGCCACTGATATCTACACTGTTGGACTTAGTCCACTGGGCTCAAGTAATCAGATTCTGGGTGTTGTATATCACAGTAGGACAGCCATATCAAAACCACTTAAAGAGAATGATTTTGACAGCAGACTTTGTTGCACCTTATACTCTTTATTTCACCATGTGTATATATGTTTATAGATACATCCTGTATCTCTTGTATTTGAAAGATGATTTGAATTTGACAAAGACCCTTTATCTCATACTCTATACACTTTCACACAACTTTAAACACTGAGTCTTCTTTGAGGAGCCACTGGTGCTGTTGATTTTGTTGGCAGTCCTTGATTTTTAAATCTCACAAGATCTGCAAGTTAAGACAAACCATTGGAGGAAAAGTAAAACAGCCAATTTGGTTTTCTGTTGTTGTTTATTATTTACAAAATTACACTGGCAATAGTGCTGTGGAGAATCACTGTATTCTGACATGCCCAAATGTGGTGGGTCCCCTTGACAGCCAATTATAGAGAACTGGTTTTGCTTTTGCTTTTAAGTACCATAAGAATTTTCTTAAGTATCACCTCCAATTTAAATTCTCATCAGAACTTATAACATGATAAATATAATACTGCATGTTGATAATTTTTATTATAGACTACATAAAATACATCACTAGAATCTACCATCGACAGACAACCACTAGTACTGCAGATTTCAGATGTGAGACGCGCTTTCCAGAATATTAATATTCGAAAGGCAGCTGGACCAGATGGAATCATGGGACGAGTTGTTAGGGGCTGTGCTGCAGAATTAGCTGGAGTGTCTGAGGAAGTCACACAGCATCCTGAGAGACTCTTCCCATCCTGCTTATAACTTTTTTGAACTGTTACCGTCTGGCAGAAGATATAGAACAATTAAGACTCGGACCACACGTTTTCTAAATAGTTTTTATCCTAGAGCTATAATTGCAATTAATAATGAGCTTAAAGATCACCAGTAGTGAATAATTAGTTGGACTGTGTTACTTGGCCTGAGGTGTAGATGTTTGTATTTTTAGTGGGGGACTTCTAGTGGGTGGGGAGTGTTTGGGGAATGTTATGTGTGTGCATGTGTCTGGTCTCTGGGTGTCTGTGAATTTCGTTGTATGGTATACTGTGTATATACTTACAATGACAATAAATTATATTATTATTATTATTTTTTTCTTCAAAGTCACAAAACACTACTATACATGTATAGTATATAACCCTTTTCCCTGTGGAGTTGCCAACTAGTACATCACCACATCCCAAGCAACTTTTGAAATGTTGTATAACGAAAGTAGTTTGTATAATTTGACTGCTGCCCTTTGAGACACATCATTTAAATTCTTACTAAAGCCAAATAATTGTCCCAGGAATCTCACACTGTTTGAGCCCGTGGATATATCTGAACTTTTGAGAAAGTGGAACTGCCACAAAATGGCTGCCTTATAGAAAAGGGGAATCACAGAACTTACTAGTGAAACACAACATGCATTTCATAGAGGCTAAATAAAACAAAACACAACTACAGATTTAGGATTAGCCAGTAGCTCTTTGTGTGGGAGTCCAGCAATAGTTTATTATCATCCTTGGCTTAAACTGTACTTGCATATGGAGATTCATCTTAGACTGCTAACATTGCTAGAATGGATGATATGTAATCCAGACTTAATATTTAACCCATTTCTATAACTTACATAGACAGATATATTTCTGTCAGAGATTGAAGTATAAATTACTGTCTCAACCAGACTCAGACAGAATATCACATGTTAGATGAAAGCATTTGTTTGTCTAATACAATAGGCTGCCATCAGTTACAATCTGCTCAAGATTCATATGCAAGATGGACTTTATGGAACTGTTATAATATGAAGTGCCTTGTATACAATTTCAGACTTTAAACATAATTCACTGTATACCATTTAATGTGAACTCATATGTAATAATTAAATTATTTCCCACACGTTTTAGTGTTAGAAATGCTAATGACTAATTCTGTCCATATGACTAATGAATAATTCTAGCAATTTAACCTCATCTTGGCTTCATTTTTATTTGATACTTCTAACAAGTAGCAGTATTTGCCTCTTCTACTGATGAAATTCTGAAGAAAAATTAAAATTATACTGTAATTTTTTTTTAAGATTGGAGACAAAAACTGTTCCAGCCATTCTAGTAGTAATACACTGTCCAGTAACACATCTAGCAACAGTGACGATAAGCACTTTGGCTCTGAAGACCTGATGGAATCTGACTCGCTTGGATTAACGTACATTAAAGGGGCTTCTACTGACAGTGGCATTGATACTGCTCCTTGTATGCCTGCTCCAATTTTGGCCCCTTTGCACCTTGCTGGAGGCCGGTCTGGAATGCACAGTCGAACTGATCAATGGGCTGGGTCTTCTGACACCCCAGGACAAGATGATGAGACTAAAATATATGCTGTTCACAGTTATGCTTCTGCCATATCTAGCAGTCATACAGGTGATGGCAGCATGGGAGACCTCAGTGAAATCTCTTCTCATTCCAGGTGGGTGATATTCTTAATATGGGGGAACCAGATTAATAGTTCCGAGTAAATACTGTAAAGATTACTTTTTATGGCTAACATTAAATGTCATGAGTATTTTTAACCTTATTTCAACAGTGTTGCATATCAGAAGATATGAAGAAATGCTTTGTTCTTTGCAAAGAACAAACCTGGTTCATGCTATTTTCACTCCTGAGATATTTTTGTGCAATTATGCTTAGTTTTTGCAGTATTTCAGAACTGAGTCCAAATCCTTTCACACATAAAATTGTAGAAGGTAGAAAATATGTGCAGCAACGCTGTATATATTCTATATTATATAATAGCATGCATTTGCTTTCCTTCTAGCATACCAGCCTATTGAATACTGTAATATACTTTAGATAAAATTGTTTTATCTGTAGATGATGAGTTGGAGCCACATTTTTTTCTTAAAAATGATTCTCCCAGAATGTTTCTGCTTGCTTCCAGTCCCAGAAATTCCTAGAAACACCCAGATAGGGAGATAAATAGCCAGGTAGCAAAAGAAATCACCACTGTCTGCTTTATTCCACATGTATCAACTGAGAAGAAGAAGAGAGTGCCCCCTCAAGTCTCACAACTTCCTGGGACTCACCCAAGTGCTCCATGGGAAGTGTATCCCAGTAAAATCCTTCCTCTATAGAGTCTAATGGGTAGCAAGATTACTCTTTCCATTGAACACCGAGGTGACTCTTATGAAGCTGTGGCCTGAGGGAGTGTTACCTTCTTCTCAGCTTTTACATGTGGAATGAAACAGACATAGTAGAAATACATCTCTTTTGCCTTCTTGTTTCTCCTTCCCTATCTCAGAGGTCTGGCTGGGGATTTCTAGGTGACCTCTGGAAGTTCCAGAATTTCAAAATTCCCATCCCTAATCTTTAAATCTTCTGGAGCAGATTTGGTTAGAGAGAGAATTGAAAATTTCTGGCAGATCCCGAGAAAACAGGGATTATAGGTACTTTGAACCTTTTCATCTGTAACATGTTTGGATCATGTTAGCAAAAAATAAAACAAATAAGAATATCTTCTATCATTACTAGCTGTAATCAATACTGCATGCCATAGGTTTTTCTGTGTTTCATGTCAGATGTATTTATACAGATATGAGAAAACTGCATTGGGTTCTAAAGTAATGGCTAAAATTATATTATTATTTCCTGTGCCACATGAGGTGCATACAGTAGCTTGATTTGTTTATTGTGTTCTGTGATCCTGGGCATAACTAACATTCTGGTTTATTTCTCTCCATCTCTGTTATTTTCTGAGAGAGAAATAAACTAAAGCAGCAGTTGTGTTTGGAGTCACAGAACATGATAAACTGTATTGGTTTTTTGAGCCTATCCCAGTTGAGTAGTGTGTATTAGCATTCTTCTTGTTCTGAGTAAGCCAGGGTTCCACTGCATCCTTGGCTTGCTGTGTCTTGTGACTATAGCCAGGATGCCTAAGGCAAAGCTGTAATCCAAGAAGTGTGCCTCTGCAAGGCCCACTTGGTAAGCCCTGTATAGAAATAAAATTTTTAGAATAGCTTCTGTATGCCATGAGCCATAAAGTTGGACAGAGTTCTGCGTAAGTAAAACTACTTTCATTTTCATCTGTATTGAATATATATGTGCATAATAGAGTGATCACTACACTGAAAAAATATGAAACTTTCTATCTTTAGTTGTGCTTTTTCTTGTAGAGTATATTGGCTGAGATTTACAGATAAATGTCTGGCCAATTTTAATCAGAAAAATAACTTCACTGAGTTCAGCAGAGGTATTCCAAACTGTGAAGTTTTTAAGGTTTTAATACTTGTCAGGCTGTTGAGATGTTAAAGAATTTACTGCTCCCTTCTCAAAATGGCTGCTTTCCAGAGGGAAGCTTCGCATTACAGTGATTTTTAACAGCTGATTGGCGGTTCTCTATGGGCAATCTTCGCTGGACAATGAGGTATTTCCCTATTGGAATGCATTGACTGTTTTTTTTTTTTTTTTTTTTTTGCTTGACGATGATATTGTTTAATGGGTTTTTTCTGAAACGGATTATCATCGTCAAGCAGGGCACCATTATACATGTAATTAATAGGTGTGGTGCTTTTCAGTCTATAACAAGATATGTGCTTCAGTTGATTAGGCACAATCCAGCCAATCTTCTATTTTTTAATGTGGGTTTGCATGAACATTGCAGACTTGAATATTCAGCATTGTATTAGATGCAATGTTCCCTTTTTACTAAGGATATAAATATAATTAAATATTGCTGGCTTGAAGAAGACTTAAAGAAGACTAATATTTCCTGAGTCAAGTTTCCTCATATACTACTGCATGGCATATTTTGTGTGTGTTTTTCCCCCCTTTTCTAGTGGGTCATATCACTCAGGAAGTCCTTCAGCACATGCTCCTAAAAGCAGTGGATCATTAGATACATCCAAAGTATATATAGTGTCACAAAACTGTGGTCAACAGATCTCTGGATCCATAGCAAAATGTTATCCTCGACAAGGAGCAATAAGCAAGTATGTCATTGGCTGGAAAAAATCAGAAGATAGTCCTACACCTGAAGAATCTGAAACTTCTGAATGCCAAGAGTAAGGGACTGTTTTTTCATTTTTTTTATGACTGGGAGGGAAGAGGGTTTGAGTCATAAAAGCAAAGAAAATGCAAGTGGATAATGTTGAATCCTGGGGCTTTGGAAGAATCTTGCATGGCAAAGTGACCCCCAGCATCCTGTTTATTGGTGTTTCCAGACAAGGCTTTTATCATGCAGTGACCATGTCTCATTCATGTGATTCTGGGAAATGACTAGATTCAGGTTTCTACTTCTGTCTCCTATATTTTCCCATTACTTCTTCCGTTATCTTTCTCTTTAAAAACCATTAAGGAAAATATGAGGGAAACTGCTTATTTTGGGGGATTTTTTTCCCCTCAACATTATTCCATTTCTTGGTAAAACTACTTTAAAATATTCAGTTATCTCTAGTCCTTATATATTAGGTCAGTTTCATAATTTTGACATATCCCATTCTTTTTAAAGAATCAGGCAGACATTAATGGGGCGTTTTTCCAGAACGGAGCTATATAAAATTTTGATCATAGTTATTTTAAACCAATCTTTTCCTTGAAAACCTTTCAAATATTTAAGAAAAATCTTGAATGTCCATTGGAACATTTTGTACTTTTATGTACATGATGTTCATTATGTACATTATGTTCAACATAAAATAAGACTGAGCCTCAGTAGTTTTGAATATTTATGAGTGACAAAATACACATATTAATAAGCATCAGGACAACCACATATCCAGGAAATGTATTTTAAAAGTTAAAATAAGGAAAGCATCTGTAAAAAATTATGTTTTTATTAAGATTTTTAAGAGGGTGTCTCATTGAGAAAACAAAAATTGAATTTGTTGTATTCCTTTTATATGCTGCTTATTTTTCTTAGTGAACAGTTATTCCAAACAGGATTCTGAAATGTTCAACATTTCAACATTATATTAGATTATTGCACTTGATTGCACTTGAGCACTTAACTCAGCTTACCACTGTTGATTATCATCATCATTGTCTACATTTGTTATATCCGTATGCTTCGTATTTTGAATTTTGTTTTATGAAATTGCTAATAAGTGTGCATCGTTTGCATTTTTTGCACTGCAGCTTCCAGAATTCCCAGATAATTCCTCAGGCAGAATTCTGGGAGTTCCAATCCCATAGACCTGCTCCTACAGATACATTTAAATAAATACTGTATATTTCACTCACTTGCACTAAGTGAGTGAAATAGTCATTCTGAGACTACAGTAGTGTTGTATGCTTTTTTTTCTTGCCTTAGTTCTTCCTGGGATTGGTAATCTCACCGCCCTTTGGGCTGTATGTACTTTACAAAGAGGTACCAATCCTAGGAAGGTTTAGAGCAGTTTATTCACAGGAAGCTTCGCAGCAGGAAATAAAGGCCTAGAATACTGTGCAGCCTGGGAGGACTAGGTCCTTCACCAGATGAGTGAAATAGGTGAGTGAATTAAGATGTCTGTAGATGTGAGTCTATGTGCTAGAACCCTCAGAATTCTGCCTGGGGAATTCTTGGATAATTTTGGGAGTTGAAGTTGGAATACAAAAACAATTGAATGGCACATCCCTAATTGCTAATCTAAATTCAAGAATGACAGTTGAAACATGTAACATGAAGAAAGCCAATATTTCCAGTCATGAATTAAAAAACAACACATAGAGTAGCTTTCGCCAGGGAGGAGGCAATATTTTCCCACCTTATGCTTTCAGAATCTATTCTTACACATGATGAATATTTCCAGTCATGAATTAAAAAACAACAACACATAGAGTAGCTTTCGTCAGGGAGGAGGCAATATTTTCGCACCTTATCCTTTCAGAATCTATTCTTACACATGATGGGTCTTCCAGAATTGATTTGGGTGGATGGATTGCAGGAGTTGGAGAGAACAGGGGTAATCCCATTGAGCAAGGAAAAGTCAACTGACACAGAAGTGAATTTTCACTTAAGCATTTTACTGGCTTGAAAAAAACTGTTACATTGGATAATGTTACTATTGTGGTTTCAGTATCTATTTTAATCATTGGTATTTTGTTGCTGACGGGCTGCTTGCTTTTTAAAAAAACTTTATTTGTGGAAGTCTTCACCTAAAAACTGTTGTATTAACATTTTAAATAAACATATTTTTAAATATCACCTTAAAACTATAATTATGGATGGGGGTATTCATATATGAATACTCCTGCACAAGTGGACATAACAAGGGTCCAGCTCCATGAGGCTGGACGGTCCACTACTAATCCGCCATGGGCGTCGTGGAGCCTTCCAGTGGCTCCAGAGATCACATTCGGCAAGCCACTCTTTGATCTAGCAGAGAGGCTTGTTGTCCCACCTCCTGCCAGGAGTGGTGAGCTGAATGCGATCTCCAGAGCCATTGGAAGGCTCCGCGGTGGACGATCCCATGGGGCTGGACCCTCGTTATGTCCACCTGTGCTGGAGTATTCGTATATGAATACCCCCATCTCTAACTATAATCAAACATTTAAAATAGCTAAGAGATCAGAATGAATGTAGCAAATTATTGTGAAAAAAGGTATGTGTACAGGCATTTTAGGTGAAAGAAACATTGCAAAGATGTTTGTGAACTGTAAAAAAAGAAAAAAACAATTGTTCTTGCAGAATGTATAATGATACTGATGGCCTATCTTCAAGTCAACTTCAAGCCTCTGTAAGAAGTACAGTTCCTGAAAGTCAGCGAGTCTTGTCAAAAGAAGAGTTTCTGAAGCTGATGATGCCAGACAGCATCTCTGTGGAGGAAGGCAGAAGAAAGGTTAGTCCTTGTTTTTCTCTACAACTATCACAGATAATTATGGGAATGGCATGTATTGTGGGAATGAGATGCAGAATCCACTGTATCCATTGAGCTTGATTTAGATCAGTTTGGAAAAGAGTTATCAAAAATAAATAGGAAGAATATTTCAGATAAGAAGCATCCATCCATGTATGCTATGAAACTAATGTGGGTATGGTTGTTTGATCCTGAAAATTTTGCACTTTTTAAGCAGTTGCTAAATAAGCAAGTTAGCTAAGGACCCCAACATCATATTTGTACAGTGTTTATGTACTCCCAGTGGGTTCATAAAGGAATAGTATCAGAGGTCTGGAAATCTGCTTCATAAGAACATCAAATTTAGCTTTGGTTTTAGCTGTTATACTAGCAAACATATCTTATTGAAGTATAAATGTATTTTCCTGTTCCCTAAAGAAAATCCTTCTCTCCAGGTAGTCAGGTGTATAAAATAAGAACTAGACTACTGTTGGCCTACAGTCTATCAGTGTTTGATCCAGCTTACACAGGGATGACTTACTTTATCATATAAATTCTACATTTTTAATTTTGATCATTATTTATTAACTAGTCCAAGAAAAGTGTATATTTTCTAAAAATATTGTTTTTCTTATGGGGAGCTGGATAGTAAGGTAGTCTTATTTTCCCATCTCCAACCAACTTTTAAATACCAAAGGGTGTCCACATCTAGGCTTAACATTATATTGGACTGGGGTATACACCAAAAAACCTGATATTTATTGCATTGTTCATATTACAAGTTGTAGGGGAGAGTGGGGATTAACTGTGCAGTTTGGGACTGTGAACTTCAGCATTTACTTAAATCCTCCAGTTCAGAACTAAAGTTCCTTTTTAAATTTCCAAATATGTCAGAGAAAGGGCTGCTAGGAAAAGAAGAGCAAATCTGAGATGCATTGACTCCATAAAGGAAGCTACAACCTTGTGTTTACAAGAGCTGACTAGGACTGTTGAGGAGATTTTAGAGAATGCTTATTCATAGGGTCGCCATACGTTTGAGGTGACTTGGCAGAACCTAACAACAACAGAGGAAGGACAGGCATTTTTAGTTATGAGAAATAGTGATGTAGAGCAAATGTTGGATATACAAATGTATGTAATTGGGACTCAATACTATTTGATTTGCCTTTTTCTTTGAAATGATAGTAAGGTGGTGCCTTAAAGTACATTGGCCTGGGTTCCCTTGAACAGATTGTCTTTCAAGGAAGAGATTTTTTCCAGTCTTTCTCTGTACCCTCTGAAACATTTTGGGGAAGTTCAAGGGTTGCAAAGAAAAGAAGAGTGGTAACCAGTTGCCTCTTTCCATTATTCTGCCAATGAGACCCTTTTGCGACTAGATGCTCTTTCATTTGCTGAAGACAGGCTTTAAATCCAATCTTGTGATGTAGTTCTTTAACTGTGAAAAATAGACTGTTATACTGAAGTTATCCATATTGTTTTAGACTGTACGTCATGTAGAGCTGAGGAATTCAATTGGTGATTAATCAAGCATAGTTTTAACAGCATATTCCTTGCTTTGAGTAAATATTTCCTATGGTGGTGATTGAGAATTTTTGCAACTTTTGATATGAGTAAGCTAGAGCTTTTATTTAGCGGAAGAGTTTATATAATTTTAGTTTCTATTGAGTCACTTTGAGGTAACTTATCTTAGAGGGAGGGTAGAATCTGATAATCCAATAACTTCACTTTTAGTAGATCCAGAATCATTGATAAGGCTGAAGTTTACAGGTTGCAGTCTGCTATACCATAGGAGGATAATTGCCATTATGATAAAAATTTGAGTATATTTATTTATTTATGTACTTTTCTATAATGTTTAGTTTTCGTTTTATGGCAACCTATCTCCAAGGAGGACAATATATCGTACTCTTTCTGATGAGAGCATCTGCAGCAATAGGAGAGGATCATCATATGCTAGTTCACGTAGTTCAATGCTGGACCAGGCTCTGCCGAATGATATTTTGTTCAGCACTACACCACCATATCACAGCACCTTACCTCCTAGAACAAGCTTAACTAGTGGTATTGGAAACTTACGACGTAAGTATCTTAGAAACCTTCTGAGCTGATACTGAGTTTGCAGTTGGAAGGAAATATTTGTCATATGGGAAGCTGCTTTTTACCAAATCAAACAAGTGCTTGATCTAGCTCAGTACTGTCTGTCACAACTGGTGGCCGCTCTCCATTATTTCAGAGAAGAATCTTTTTCAGCTCTGCCTAATGATTGCCAGCATGATCATCCATTCATCCAATTCAGATTCTCCGTTTCAAATACAATGAGCTTGAATAAGCAGCTGTTTGACTTACATATAAATTATGAAGGAGTTCTACTATTTTGCTTCTTCTGTATTTTGAATTTAAATAAGTATTCTATAATTGAAACAACTGGAAGTAATAAAACGTTGATTTCAGGTAGTATCATATACCATTTCTATTGTTGTAAGCCTTTCTTTTTTGTTTTCAAAGCATTTATACTTTTCAGTTTTCATTTGGATTTTTGAGGGTTTTTTCTCCTTTTTTGCTAGTTTTGGGGTAAACAGCAAACTGTGGTAAAAATTTTTGCGGTAGAGCTGTCATATTTGGTTTCAAAACATAGATTGTTCAGATTTTGCATTGTTGTCCAAAGTGAATACTGTTTGGCCACCACTTTGTAATTTTCATCTTAGGCTTCTAAAAACATCTCACATAAATTTTAACCCTAATATTAGTTGGCTCTCAAAATTCTACTTCTCAAAATAGGCTTCCAGGTAAGTTTATGTTGTAAAAAAGTCACTATCAATCTTGGCTGCTATTTCTAGTTTTAAGTCAATACCAAAATGTATAATCTAGATACAGGTGAAGGCAAGCTGGTTAGTGAAGGACACTGACAGGGAAAAAAAAGAGGACATGTACTAATGAAAGAAAGTGTTAAGAATACTGTGGATCACCAAAGAGACAAATAAATGGTTTCTAGATCAAATCATCCCTTCGTGGATTGCTGCCTTGTCATGGCGAAGGGGCTTGAGTCTCAGAGAAGCTATGGACTATGCCATGCAGGGACACCCAAGACGGACAGATCAGATGCAGAAGATATCAAGGTGGCAAGAATACACAGAGGAATTATACCAGAAAGATTTGGATATCCTGGACAACCCAGATAGTGTGGTTGCTGACCTTGAGCCAGACATCCTGGAGAGTGAAGTGGGCCTTAGAAAGCATGACTAACAACAAGGCTCTTGGAGGTGATGGCATTCCAGTTGAACTGTTTAAAATCTTAAAAGAGGATGCTGTTAAGGTGCTACATTCAATATGCCAGCAAGTTTGGAAAATTCAACAGTGGCCAGAGGACTGGAAAAGATCAGTCTATATCCCAATCCCAAAGAAGGGCAGTGTCAAAGAAAGCTCCAACTACCGCACAATTGCACTCATTTCACACGCTAGCAAGGTTATGCTCAAAATCCTCCACAGCAGGCTTCAGCACTATGTGGACTTAGAGCTCCCAGAAGTACAAGCTGGATTTCAAAGGGGCAGAGGAATTGGAGACCAAATTGCTAACATGCACTGGATTGTGGAAAAAGCCAGAGAGTTCCAGAAAAACATCTGCTTCTTGTTCAGAAGCCTTTGACTGTGCGGACCACAGCAAACTATGGCAAGTCCTTAAAGAAATGAGAGTGCCTGATCACCTTATCTATCCACTGAGAAACCTATACGTGGGACAGGAAGCAGCAGATATAACTGGCTATGGAACAACTGATTGGTTGAAAATTGGGAAAGGAGTACGACAAGGCTGTATATTGTTTCCTGGCTTATTTAACTTATATGCAGAATACATCATGCAAAAGGCCGGACTGGAGGAATCCCAAGCCAGAATTAAGATTGCCAGAAGAAATATCAACAACCTCTGATACACAGATGATACCACTCTGATGGCAGAAAGTGACAATGAATTAAAGAACCTCTTAATGAGGGTGAAAGAGGAGAGTGCAAAAAATGGTCTGAAGCTCAACATAA